CTGCAATACTGCACTACAACAATCGAGATATTGCTAAAAGTCGAGAAGGAATGAGTGAGGACATGAGGTCTTTCTGTCACCTAGAGAATGCCTGCCTAAGAAAATTCCTTTTGAATTGTCTTGATGCTAGTGGACCAGAAAAAAAACTTGCAGGTCACTTTTGTTGTACCTACTGTAAATCTAACTGTGATTGTCTAGATTGCCTCAAAGATATGCAGTGAAATACATCCGGTAGAGGGTTTATCTTGAAAATTATTGTATCTTATGTCTTATGGAAATTTGGGTATTGAGTAGGATACAATGGGAATAGTGTATTATGAGTACAGTCTTTATGAGTCTGTGAGTGAATGAGTCAAAGTTAAAATTACACTTATTACATTCAATTTGAAAATAGTGCCACACTTACTATAATCTACTGTAAACAAACCTGAGTGGAACTAAATGCAAGGAAACCAAATTGGAATGAATAATAACTTCTGTGTAAAAGCACTTTGAATCATTGACTCATGACCAGCCACTTGAGCAAAGTGAGAAATAAACAAACATTGTATTGTAGGGGAATGGGGATAGTGGGAATTTGTTAAGGTTCTGTTGGATAAGTTTAGACATTTTTGCATGGAGATTGTTAACATGTACATGTATATACTTAAGGATACCTTTAATGTGTATCACTGAAACTAAATAATTTATTGAGGAAAAAATGCTGCTTCAATTTGTTGTTTTATTTATAATGCCAAGTGAGGTAATTCAAAAAGTGGACAAATTTCATATTTAAAAAGTCCCTTTGAAGCAACTAAACTTACATCTTTTTGTACTCCTGGGGTACAGGCAAGCCATTTCTCAACTGAAAAAAAGCAACTTGCCCTGAGTAATTTGAGATATGCCTGTCCAACAAACAAGATGTAAATAGCAGACTTTTGAAATGATTGATTGTAATGTTGACTACTTGACTACCTTCCCCCTGTTATGCTTTCCATGATTACCTTAGTAAAAAGATCTGTCAATCATTCTAGAATCGTACCTCCCCTCTTTTCTTTTCAACTAAACAAAGGCTAACTCGCCAGATGAATTTCTTTCCAAAGGCCATCATATAAACTAAGCTCAAATCACTGTCAGCCTTCCACTGGGGTTTTAATCAAACTTTTGCTATACTACAATACTATTATTATTTACAAAGGTTACACAAGGGCAGGAATTTGCTAATAAGAAATCCTTTGTCTGTGGGTCTTATTTTACATATAAGCAATGTCAAGTCCATTGTCATGTCCATGATTGATGACAACTATTGATTGTTGACAACTGTTTAGCCATTAAACTTCACCGCTCATCCTCCTCATCCTCCTGTCCAACTGGAGCATCAAGCAGAAGATTCTTTTTATGGCGGGCCCCCCATTGGTTGTAATCTTCTTCGTTCAGAGTAGACAAAGGATCAGCCATTATGTCTGGAAATGAATCATGCTTCCTGTTGGGCACAGTGGTGAATGGTTTAAGATCACGTAGATCTCTGCTTACTTTGCCTTCATCTGTTGAAGAGGATTTGTGACCATGTGAAGAATGTTGGACACCTCTGCCAACTCGCTGGTCAAAATTTTCCACTATTTTCTGTTGTCCCCCAGCAGCTCTGCTGGCACGGTCAATGGCTTTGTCAGTTTTGTTGGCACCCATTCCCCGTATCTCTTTCTTGATGTCTTTGTTCCTGTTCTCCTGCAGAATGTCAATTTCAATGTTTTTTCCAGGCCCACCTTTCCAGTTTGCAGTGGCAGCCCAAATACACTGATGTGATTCTGCCTCTGAAAGTAATACTTCATTCTGCAAAATGTTTATGAACATCTCAATTGCATATGCATTGAATCCAGGTAATGACTTGAAAAGGGGGAGCAACTGTTTATGCAGAGTTCCAAGTCTCTTGCCATTTCCTTCCTTTACTGCATCCTTAAGATCAGCATAAACAAAGAAGTATTGCAGTAGACACATGGAGTAGTTTCTGACAAAATCATCATTATCAGAGCTACCTTCTTCATCAATGTTAGGAGCTGGTATGAGGAATTCATCAATGAATTTATCCACAACAGAATGGTAATAGTTCTTCTTGTTGTTGCCAACATCCAAAACATGATATGGGGGTCTGTTCCTGGTAGGATGAGCATCCATGGTTTCCATATTGAAGAAATCAAGTAATGCTTCAATTGTGTAACACCGTCCAATGCTTAGAAACAACTGCTCGCAGTCTTCAAAGTGTTTGACATCAATAGTTACATTTCTTCGTTGCAGCTTTTCTCGAAAGAATCTCAATGTCCCTTTTTCACAGCCAGAATTCTTGTACAGCTTCTTAAAAATAAGCTACAAAAAATAATAGTAATCAAGTTTCAAGTGTATTTCACATCTAAATGGTTCTGAATCATCCTTTATTGGCTTGGTTACAGTATTTAAAACCTTCCATTTATTTATGTGTGTTCCAAGCTTCACTTGGTATACTAACAGCATTTAATAGTTAATCATGGCCACATAACAAACAGATGGACTTGAGAAAATTTAATGACTAGTTGGTCTTTCTTGAAATTGTCTCAAAATTACATGACCTAGCCCCTTAAATTCCCTTTCAAGTCACTGTTCAAAAAATTTGACAAGGATGAATGATTCCAGACCATAACAGCAATGAATGCACTCATCCCTAGTGACCACACGAAGAAATTACATATTTTTATGACTTATTTTAAATTAAACATGCAATAAAATGGAAGCAATATTTTCATACACTGAATTCTTTTCAGTTAAAATTAAAAACAAGTTGTTGCTGTGTACCACTTTGAATTGAATTGCAGTCACCAAAACAGTCTTAACAAAGGTGCTTATGTTTTTGCTCTATCTGAAAAAAAAACAATGATGTTAAGCACTTTTTCTAAGACTTTATTTTTACAACTGCAACTTGATTTCCTATGTATTTAGTAATTAAGAGTGAATGCCTATAAAAATCGACCTAAATCGCCTATCAATGGCACAAGTCGAAAAATTGATTTCGCTTGTATTTTGCCCATAGATAG